CTGTGGACATTGCTGTTTGCCTATTGCACAAATAGACTTGGTACGCTTGGTAGTTGGGTTAGCTGCAACACTTGGCCTCTGGCCCTGGGGTAAGACCTGTCATGGTGGAGGGCACCAAATAGAAAACTCAGAAAATATGCCTATCATCCAAGTTTGTAAATCAAAAACAATATTGCATGCTGAAGGGAATGGCAAAAATGTGTACCACCATTAAAGACCTCAAGGAGTGGTACTGATCATATCTCCATTTAATTCGCCAGTCTGGCCCCTGCAGAAACTAGAAAACCCTGGAGAATGACTGTAGTCTACAGTGGGATGAAACAAGTCGTAGCCCTCATTGCAGGTACAGATGTGGTATCTTTGCTGGAGCAGATTAATAAGGCCTTGGACACATGGTGTGTAGCCACTGACCTAGGAGACGAATTCTTTTCAATTTCAATCAAGAAAGAGGATCAGAAATAGTTGCATTCATGTGGGATGGAAAACAATATTCAACTGGAGATTTGCTGAAGGACTATACGGACTCTACTGCCTTCTGTCACAAAATAGTCTGAACATCCCACAGAACATCTTGACATCGTGGTCATTGGAAGAGCAAACAAGAGGTGGCCCTGGCGAGGCGCAGACCACAGAGGGGATGGGAGACATGCCCTGTGAAGATTCAGAGAACTGCATGTCAGTGAAGTCCTTGGGGGCCCTACGGTGGGGGACATTCCCGAATATCCCTCTAAAGTCAAATGCAATCTCTACAGCATTCCCACCACAGGAAGGAGGTACAGTGCCTGGTGTACCTCCTTTGATTCCAAAGGCAACACATTTCACACCTAGGAATGCCACCCAGCCCACATCCTGGGTGACACAGAGGGGTGCTAACTAACGTTGAGTGAAGCCTGGAGTAGGAAAGAACCCTGTAGCAGGTCCAAGCTGACACACAAGCACACCTGCCACTGGCGCCACGTGACCCAGTGGACCCCACAAGGTTGGAATGTCACAGTGGCACGAGATGCACCACAGGATGGAAGCTGTACATCTAAGGCCAAACCCAGGTGGGACCAGAGGATGGAAATAAACTGCAGGAGCTGGTAGCCCATACCCCTGTGTCACGTACCACAGCCGCACCAGGGCCCTCAGCTTGCATCTATGGCCATAGTGGAGTGCTGGCATGTTGATTTGGGGCGACTCACTCACATCTGACACTGGATGAGCTCAGTGCTCTGTGCTAATGATGATCTAGCCCAGATCCTCGCCATCAGCAGTATCAGTGGCCCACACAGCAGCTCTCCCGCCTCTGTGTTCACACTCCGTGCCAGCTTGGGTCTGCAGTACCCAAAATGGGAGGAGGTGGGGAATGGCAAGCATCCTTCACCTTGCGTTCCCACCAATGGCACCCTCACCCCCTCTGCAGGCTCTGTGCTGTGTGTCAGGCAGTCCCCAGGGGCTTGTGAGACATCACTCTGAGTTGCCAACCCAATCCAGGTAGCTCTTAGTTCCAGTTGATGTGGTGACATCATGCTCTCCTGGGGCTTAGGGTGTGCTGGAGGAGCGATGGGCATTCCTTGCTCAATGAGACCTCTCTGGTGGCTCCACCCAGGGCCCATGGCCTGACCTGCCCATTGGTGATGGTGATGGAGTGTGGAAGGCAGGCAAGGGGTTAATATGGAAATGCAGGATGGCAGTCCAAAAAGTCAAGAGAAAACACGGTTGGAAGATGTGTTATTCTACCTTTGCACCATAAAATTCAGAACAGTGCATTCCATGACTGGAGGATGAATTATGGTTCACATTTTTCTGCATGCTCTGGGCAAGACTTGAGACTGTGGTCATCACCAAGGAAACATAGTAACAATTTTGAGAGAGTCAGTGGAAGCCAATGAGCACAGTGTGAGGCAGCCTCTGCAGCACCGATGTAACCACCACTAAACGCGTGGTGCTAGGGGGCTGCAGAGGTAAGGCCAGTGCTGCTTCCATATGAACAAGTCCAGAAGAGTCATGGCATTGTCAGTGATAATCATGCCGCAGGAGAGATATACAATTAACCAGGATTGTTGACACTAAAGAAAGTGAAGAGGTGGTTCCTGGACCTGAACAGAAAGAGGTGGTGCCTGGCCACTAAGAAGAACCTTTACTCTTAAAGAACAAAAGGTAAATATGAAAGTGCATCTTGTCTACCCATAACTCTGTCAATCAATAAATCGACAATCACTGTGCCTCACACAGGCCCATGAATTTTTTAATCACATTGTTTATGTTAGACAGGGGAATCCACAAAAATCAATCAATAAATAAATATATGCCCTGAATTCATCAATGACATTTGCTAAACTCTAATAAAAGCAAGAATTGTGCTAGACACCATGGCTACAATAAAGAATAATGCACAAAATGCACTAAATGCAACTCACTGACCAAACTTGTAGCGATGTATGTGGAGATACACGGAGCGTCCTCTGGGAGGGACATGCAGGGGAGATGGAGAGAGCACACAGGAATGTTCCCTGCTGTCGTGCCCAGTTGGAGATCAGAAAGACAGCACTAGAGACACAGCAGCTCTGTTCAAGGGACTTGCTTAATGGGAATTTTCAGCCATCCTCCAAATCAAAGTTTCTTCTTCTCTTATTAATCTTCTTATTGATACGTTCTCTGTGGACCAAAGATTTTGTGAGATGTCTGTGGAAAGACAGAAGAGTCCCTTCCATCTGTGTGCCCCAACAGCCTACTCTGAAATCACCAAAAATGAAGCAAGACAAAGAGTTGAGTATTTAGCCAACCTCCTCCCTTTGTGCCTGCTCTAGTTTAAGAATCTGGGTTGAATAAAAAGGTCTTTATAAAAGAGTCCTCCGAACCAACCCCACCTTGTAGATTACAGTTCAAGAACTGCTGCAAAAGGATCTTTCAGAAGGAGGCACGAAGGGGGAAAGATAAGGTCACTGGCCTTTATCTCTGGTCCTGGTCTGAGTCATTGCTAGGAGTCTTTGTTCACATGGGTTTTCCAGCCTGTCTGTCATCCCTGGTCAGACCAGCCCCAGATTGTCATCACCAAGCAGAGTGGGGGAAGTCCTGCACCACAGGGCTAATGGGCAACGCCGGAGCCTACTGTTACCCTAAGAGTTGGTATCAGCCTGGTGGATGGGGTGGGAGTGAAAATTACCATAACCAAAAATTATCATTGCCAGGTGCTGGGCCCTGTCTGGAGATGGAATTTAGCCCAGACCCTCCATAACTCCTGGGGTCTGTTCTAGGACCCATGCTGCAGTCTGCAAAGAAACCCACTTGTAGGCCCCAGCCACTTTCTGTCCTCCAGACCTATCCAGAGCAGTCGTTTTTCTCACTTTCTTTGAGCCCTCTTTAGTTGTTCATGCAAAGATAGGCCCTGCGTGGGAGACACCAAGGTATAGCCTTGGGTCAGAACACAGTCTCAGGGGAAGCAAAATCCAGTGACTGCTGGTCCCAGGGCAACTGGCAGTCTAGTCCTCAGCTTTCCACCTACGCACTCAGCTGCCGGGCTGCAGGGGCACCTGCTCTGCCTGCAACACAGGCTCCTGGCTACGGCCTTGCGAAGGCTGTGCAGGTGCACGTGAGACCCCAGAAGGAAAGTGCAGAGATTCAACCATCCTCGAGGATGAACCGAGTACGGTGAGAGGAAGGTGGGAGGTAAGTGGGTAGCCTGGGGGAGAAGCCAAGTTACTCTGAGATGTTCCGTCTTTTAGGGAAGAGAAGACAAAAAGTGCAATTAAAAAAAAATCCATTGGCGAGGCAAACACTGAATGTACGAGAGGGAGGGTTAGGAAGGGCAGTGTGCCTGGGAAGACAGAGGGCAGGGAGGGGTCCAGACCCAGCGAGGAAAGTCAGCCTCGGGAAGATGTTTATTTTCTAAGAGAAAGGGAGACTGGGAGTGGAGAATTTTTGAGGGTGGAGGGTGGGAGACTCAGGAAGCACAGAGCAGATGGCCTTAATCTTCTAAGTGAAAAAGGAGGCGAGCGAGCCTGGCAGGGGTGGGTGGGAGGCAGGGCTGAGAGCAGGGGCAGGAACATTCCCTAAGCCACACAGGGTCTAGGACGGGCATCCTGGGGGAGCCACAGTTGGGCTCCCAGAGGACTCGCCCTCAGGGAGGGGCGAATGCAGAGCACCGGCTCCTCCCTGGGACTTGGAGTCCGTAGAATAGGGATGGGGCCAAAAATCTGCATCATTAGGCCAGTCTCAGCATATACTGGCCTTCAGGCAAAGCTTGGAGAAATGGAGAGCAAGGAGCTGCTGAGCGGCCAGGAGAGCCCATCAGAGGCTGGATGACAGGAAGTTGGGGGGACTCACTCAGTACCTTTTTCACAGAAAGACTCTGCTGCCCAAGAGCCCAGCGGGAGAAGACTGGTGGTGGGGCTCAGTCATGTGAGGGGGTCTACATGGGAGGGTGGAGTCTTTACAGGGGGGTAGGGGCTACCCAAGAGGCCGTGTTTAGCCAGGAGGGTCTACACGGGAGGGTGGGGTCTATGGGGGAGTCTATCCAGGAGGGTGGGGTCTATCTGAGAAAGTGGGGTCCGTCCAGAATCAGGAGGTCTACGCGGGAGAAAGGGGTCTGTCAGGAAGGGGAGGTCTCCAGAAGGACAGGCTGTGGTTGCGGGGTCTACCCAGGAGGGAGGAGCTTCTCCACAGGGTGCTAGAAGGTCTGGGCGCGGAGGTGGCTGTGATCACAGTCCAAACACGTCGTGACCTTGGGCCCACACCTCGCGGGAAGGACCGCCGGACGGTGAGGAAAGGAAGAGGCGGGGCAGGGTGCAGGTGGAGGGGTGAGCAGGGTCGGGGCGCCGGGTGTGGGGCGGGGCGGCTGGAGAGGCGGCCACACTTTCCGACGCCGATGCCGGGAGGCTCTTCCCAGGGAACCTCCGGGAGGCCAAACACACCTTCCTGGGGCAGAGTGTTACATGTATATGGGGAGGAAATTACATTACAATAAACACATTCCATTGATTCACATGAAATAGTGAGGTTTTATTTTTTAAGGCTTCCAAGGCTTATGTCCCCGCTGCCTCAGGACGCGGCCGCTGTGGCGAGGGGCTCCAGGGCTGGCGCTGAAAGGGGGGCCTCTGGGTAGGGGCGGGTGGCCAGGCTCGATCCCTTCTTAGTGGGAACCTCATGAAACTGCCGGCATTTGACCACACGTGACTTCTAGGAACGGCTACTTCCTGTGATTCAACCCGAATCTCAGAGTCTCGCGGCGCCGTGTGGCCTCCAGGAGGCGCTGCTCTGCCTTCGACACGCCACACGGGCAAAGGCCATTTCGGGCTCCCTGATCACCACCAAGTCAGGGCTGGAACAGAGACGGCTACTGCGTTTAAGAAGGAAGTAACCAGAGAGAAAAACACGAACCCAAACAGCACAGCTGCTCGTCCCAGACCAGCAGCATCAGTGCCCCCGGGGAGCCTGTGGGTCCCTGGCCCCACCCGGCCCCGCTGGTCGGAACCAGCACCTTAGCAGGACTACCAGGCGCCCTGCGTGCACGTCCACGTCTGAGGAGCTCTGGTCTAGCCAGCGAGCTCCTGCCCACGGCCACCTGCCTTCCGGGCCCCAGCTGGGCCCGGCCAGTCTCACGTCCACCCCAGAACACGCTCTCAGACCCCCACCCCCAAAGTCGGCAAGAAGCCCGGCCCTCCCTGTAATGTGTCCCTGTCTAAGGAGCCAGCTCTTCTCTCAGGAAGTGTATTACTAATAGTTATCTTTGCCCTGGCACAAATGACCCCCAAATTTAGAGGTTTAAAACAACAAACATTTGTTTTTGCCATATGCTGTTGGTTAGAAGCATGTCACTAGATCCAGCCCAGGCATTAGGGGAGATTACACCAGGGCCCGAACCCCAGGAAGCAGGGATCACCCGGGACCACATTCCACCTGCCTCAGGGGGTGATCTCACATCTAGGGGGTGAGCCCCAATAGGGCAGCCAGATCAGAATTCAAGAAAGCGACCTCCTCAAACACAAGGTGGGGATGACCTGCGCTAATAACAAGTTCGGATAGACCCTTTAGCGGGAGCTCTCAGAGTGACTGTGCATTAGCATCACTTGGGAAACATGAAAAATAATAGTAGCAATACCCAGGCCCCGCCCAGGACCAAGTGAATCAGAGTCTCCTGGCATGGATATTTTTCTTTTTAAAAAAATTCCTCAGTTGATTCTATTGCACAGCTAGGGTGGAGAAATGTTCAAACGCTACAATGCTGGGGCTGTGGCGAGGGTCTTCGGGACAAAAGAAGGTGGGAGCCCAGAAGCTTGGACTTGAGATGAGTGGCCTGTTTGGAATCAGGGGCACGAAGGTGAGCCCTAGGGAGTGCTGGGGCCATCCTGCAGGTGAGCAGATAAGTTGACAAAAGATAGATGACTTTTTAAAGAGACAGAGCCTCACTTTGTCACCCAGGCTAGAGTGCAGAGGTGAGATCATAGTTCACTATAACCTCGACCTCCTGGGCTCCCGGGTCCATGACATTTTATGATTGTCCACCTTAACAAAACGATGGCACATGCACCTTCCTCTTAATTTTGCCGTGAACCTAAAACTGTTCTAAAAAAAATAAAGTCTTTATTTTTTAAAAAGTCAAAAAGGAAAAGAAAAGAAAAGTAACCTACCCATTTTTAAAACTTTTCCTCAACTCCAGCTGATGGCTTCAAGGAAATGGACATAGAAAATGAAGAGGACTCAAGAGATAAAAGCACCCTGGGGTCTTATTCTCCAGTCCACAGACACAGAGGGTCACAGCTGGGGCCTCATCGGTTACCTCGCCAACACCTTCATCTGCGGATGAGGAAACTGGGACACAAAGAGGTTGCGGGGACAGGGTGGGGTTAATGGCACCGCGGGGATCAGAACTCACATCTCGAACCTGAGCCCCGCGCGCCCTGCAGGCTTCCCACATACAGAGCGTCTCTGTGGACCACGTGTGGGAGTGAAACTTACTGCAGAGTCGGTCAAGGGAGATAACACGCATCCTCTTGTCGGGAAGCCTCGGCCTTCACAGACATATTTCAGCAAGGGCCAGCCCGTGCTAGCTCGGTTCATCTGCCCTGTTTGACGGGAGCCAGTCAGGGGGGCGGTGGTGGTTGCTGAGCCTAACGAGCTCCCTGCCATCACCTGCCTCCTGGTAGCCGCTGTTCTCATTCCCAGGGACTGGGACTCTCCCGCCGTTGCCATGGCCACGGGCCTCACCCGCAGCATACCAACGCTGCAGTGTGCACAGATCTTTGGCCAACGTCCAGGCAGACGCAGAGCAGCTCTGCTCTAACAGCCAGGCCAAGGCTGTTGGGCTGGACTCCCTGCGCTGTGGCCTGAGTCTCTCCGAGCTGTCCATTTGGCTGCCCGGCTATGAATGAGCTGTGATTGTTAATTTCTTTTCCCGGCACCAGCTTCTCGGGAGTCTCTAACCCAAAACTTAAACAAAGAGCTAAATCAGGCTGTTCCCAGATCTCTGAACGCTGGCTATTTACCAAACACTGAAAACTTCACCAGTTGCCACCAGTTCCAAATCTCCAGGCTCTTATGAGAGTCGTAAGGAATGTTACCGCGAGAGGTCCAGGCTTGGCCCATCTGTGATGTTCTTGGGTGTCCTTTATAAGTCCCAGTCCTGTGAGCCGAAATGCCTTTTCCAGAGAGAAAGAAATCAAAGACAGGGGGTGAAGCAGCACATGGCAAGAGAATAGAGATGTAATCCCTTTGAAAACAAACAAAGGAAAACCTTCCCGTGTGTAGCGCTCATCCCTGGATGATTTATGTTGGCCCAGTGCTTGAGTTTGCAGCAGTTACAAAAAAGGAGAGAGTGTCAGAAGGAATCTTCCATGAACACAGACGCTACCAGCCAACGTCTGTCCCTTGGGGTGGAAAACCTGCTCTGTCCTGTTCAGGGCTCCTCGCAGCATCCTCAGACGGAGAAATGCACACAGACACACTCTGGGTGAGAAAGCAGCGCGTGCGTGGAAATACGGTTTGATGAGCATTGCCTCCACTCCTCCAGGGGTGCTCACAAAGTGAGGGAGCCCCCTGGGCCCCCGCCCCAGGGTGTGTGCCCACATTGTCATGGAGCTTGCCTGGGTGGGGGCAGGGCTCCCAGAACTCCTCCTTTGAGAGACGGGACCGGGGTGGGTGGCAGGAGCCACTTTTGCTCGTGAAAACACAGCAGTTCCAACCTCCCTCTGTTGTCTGGGGCCACCGAGCATCCTCCCAGCTTTCATTTTTGGCATCGATCTTCTGCCCAGAGACACTTTGCTAAAGAGTTGTTGTTTTTTAAAAAAAAAAGAGAGAGAAATGTAATATTCAGATTTAGCTACCTGGAAGAGGGAGGTGTTTCTTCTTTAAAAGTAATATGGAAAATTCGCTTTTTTTAGTGGGGGAGAATATGATCATAGTTAATAACTTCAAAATCAATGAGAAAGGTGCCAAAAGATGCTGTGGTTTAAATTTCCTTATCATCTTTCTGTGCTCGATTGAAATTGTTTATTCAGCTTACTATGTGAGTTCAAACATTTACATAAAGAGTTACGGCTTCATTTTAAAATGCAGGACAGCAGGTTTGCCTCTAAAGCTGGCAAATAAAGCCTAGAGTAGGATCCTTAATATCCAGATCACACGGCCAGGTCCAAGTCACCATCGAACCATCACTACCACTGGCTTTTAGCAATATACCCTTGGAGCAAGGGGACAAGACCCTGGGTACTTGAAGCTGGAAACACGAATATTCCAAGGGACAGCAGCCATCATATTTCCCAGGATGAGACACAGCAACTGAAACAGACCTTACCCGACTTGCTCAATCCCCTGGCAAGCGTTGGCACAAATCCTGCACTTCCCTTCTCATTGCCTTCCCACGGGGGCTTCCCCCTCCCAGCACCCACAGCAGTCGGATTTATCCAAAATGACTCCCAAAGAATATTGAGATGACCAGAAGCTGGGCAGAGCCCACCCAGCAAGTACTCTAAAATATGATTGACACGTCCGGCCTGCAGTGGCCTCAGAAGTCGCTGGCACTGTGTTGAGACACCAGGGCTTTTGAAAGACAAGGACAGTTGAAAACGTCTTGCACCATGGAAGGCGGGCTCCCTGGTGCACGTGAGCCATTTCTCCCTCCACTGCAAGTTTGTTATCTCTCATCTCTGCCTTTCCCTCCACCCCGCCCATATCCCCAAGGGACAGCTGCTCCAGACCCACCCTGCAGTGAGCAGCGGGTGAGCAGAATTTTCCGTGGTGAGCCGGAAACAGGGCCCAGGTTGCATGTGGGTCGATCACAAAAGCCTGATGGGAAAGGGATGAGGACTGCAGGGGAGCTCCACTTCCCAAAGACCAGGAGAACAGGCACTGAGGAGCCCCTCCCATTTTCCAAATAGGTAAAGGGAAACACACATTTGTTTTTAACTTGAATTTCAAGTCTTTGCAAGGCTCACAAGCAACTGGCAGCCGGTGACTTCCGGAGCCATTTTTAACACATGAACTGACTTGCGAGTTGTATTTAACTCCCGCTAGTTTTGAGCCTGGGGCCTCATGAAGCATATGAAGACTCCTAAATAAATTCAATAATTATGTCATTAGTCACATACAAGTCAAGTGGCACGCAGTGTAAAAATTGATTCTGTTGCTACGTGAGTTGCATATAACTCACACACAGAAAACAATAAAAAATAACAAATTTTTCATTAAATTAGAAAGGATCATTTTTGTTTTCAAAGTTTTTTATCTATTTTCATAATAAAACACCATGACCCCAGGAGAAAAAAATGTTTTTCTAGTATGGCAGTTAGTGTGTTTAAAAATTAAAAGCATGTTAGGGTGCTAAATGGCACCGCACAGCAGATTTGGAGTTAAAGGGTGTCATTTCAGATGTGGCTCTACCACTTACAAGCCAGCCGAGTAACCCTGTAAGTCGCTTACCCCGAGAGCCTTCACCTTGGGGCGTGTTATGGCTTCTTCTGCAAGCTGGCTTGTCGTGAGGCTGAAACGGAAGAATGCATGACAGGCAGGCGGTGTCTGTTACATAGGAGGCACGCCATAGATCCACTCTCAGTGAATGCAGGCCTGTTACACAGGGGTCACTCGGTAGGTGTTGATTTTGTCCCATCCCTTTCCCAAATGAGAAGCCACTGGAGAGTTGGTTTCTGTAGTTCAACCTCTCAATCAAGCCAAATAAACAGGTCCTCAGAGGGGCCAGGCCACCACTGCAAGGCAGTGAGGGGACATCTGCAGATAGAGTTTCCAGCCCAGCCTCTGTCACTAGCTACTGGTGCAGCTGTGTATGAAATGATCACAGTCCCTCTCCCCTCATTCTGAGCCTCCATTTCCTCATACTGACAATGAGAGAGCTGGACTAGATCCGTAGCTATCAACTGTTTTCTATCATCCAAACCCTTCCTTCGCAAGATCTCTGATGCAGAACCCCAATTAAATAGCCTAATTCAAGGGAGCGGACAAAGGCCTAAACTTCAGTCTGTTTGGCTCCCCAGCTCACCTTTTCTGAGAAGCTGGACAGAAGGCACCCCCCAACCCCTGCACAGGAACCCCTGGGGTTCCTCAGAGCACAGCTGGAGAACCGCAGGAGCAGGTTCTCTCTAGATCTCCTTCCAGATGGCACATTCCGTGATTCTAAATGTTTGCAGAGTAACTGGGGCACATTTTTGAGCTGGGCCACATTAACTCAAGGCTGGTAGGTAACACATATCAGAAAGAATGCACTCCAGACCCTCCTTCATCCCCAGCTGCTGCCCAGGAAAAGTCACTTAGCAAGAAGTCCGATTTGACTGGTTTCAACTCCAGTCTCAGCAGCTGTGAGCCTACAGCACTGGGGGCAGGGGAAGTAATATATATATTTAAAAAATGTAATCCTATCCTCAAGAGAGTGTCCAGTGAACATAAACCAATTAGAGGAAACTGTAGAAATAAGACCTGCAATAAATTAGCCTGAACAATCAGGGTGGGTGCAGGGAAAGGGCACTAGGCAGGAAATCAAAACACCTAGTCCCAGGTCAGCACTAACTGCATGACCTTGAGCAGATCATGCCTGTGTCTCTGTTACCTCAAAGGCAGGGCTAGACCAGGCAACTTCTATGGGACTTTTCCACCCAGAAAATTCCATGAGTCTAAAAATTTTGGAGACTGAAAAATGTTGATAGCAATGTTGTCACATTGTCAAAATTAGCATTTTCCAGCTATGTATGTTCATTATGCCTAAATATTCCTCAACCGTGACATTAATGACCATCTTAGAGCAGCCATAGAGCCAGTGACCCAATTGCTCCTAGAATCCCAGGTAAGGAAAAGGGAATGGCTTTGAGTCTGTAAGGGCAGGCTGAACAATCTCTCCCAGAGCCCTTTGTACTGTGATTAAAGCAATCTTGGCATAGGTGGGCACTACCAAGTCTAGGAAAGGCGAATAAACATTTGCGGGCTAGTAAGACTGTCTGCAAGGATTCCCTTGTCACAGTTCCTTTGCAGCCAGTGATATCTAAGGCCAAGTTCTGGGATCTCCAGATTTACTATTCCTTTTTTTTTTTTTTTTTTTTTTGACAATTAATTTTTTTCACCTCCTAAACAGAATGACTTTGGAGCAGGAAGTATGAGAGAGGCAATGGGCCCCAAAGTGTTATGTTAACCCTGGGCGTGGAATAAGTCTTCGTTAGGTCACAGGCGACTCTGACGCGCACCTACAGAGGCAGTGCGCCTACAGAGGCAGTGCCCCTACAGAGGCAGTGCCCCTACAGAGGCAGTGCGCCTACAGAGGCAGTGCCCCTACAGAGGCAGTGCGCCTACAGAGGCAGTGCGCCTACAGAGGCAGGGCGCCTACAGAGGCAGTGCCCCTACAGAGGCAGTGCGCCTACAGAGGCAGTGCGCCTACAGAGGCAGTGCAGCTACAGATGCAGTGCCCCTACTGAGGCAGTGCAGCTACAGAGGCAGTGCGCCTACACAGGCAGTGCGCCTACAGAGGCAGTGCCCCTACAGAGGCAGTGCAGCTACAGAGGCAGTGCCCCTACAGAGGCAGTGCCCCTACAGAGGCAGTGCAGCTACAGAGGCAGTGCCCCTACTGAGGCAGTGCAGCTACAGAGGCAGTGCGCCTACACAGGCAGGGCGCCTACAGAGGCAGGGCGCCTACAGAGGCAGGGCGCCTACAGAGGCAGTGCGCCTACAGAGGCAGGGCGCCTACAGAGGCAGTGCACAGAAGGGCAGCATCTTTACGGGGGGAAATGTCTTGGCTCGGTAATTGTTTGGAATGGCATTCCCGTTGGAATCTGATCACAGAGCCTGATTTCCAGCTTGGTCTCCTAGTCTTCTGATAAGACTTTTGAGTTCCAAAGTCTTATCAAGACTAGTTAGGTGGCCCCTAAAATTATGGATCCAACTTTGTCAAAAACAGGGCACAGGGACACACAGATAGGTAAGAGAAAAGGAGGTGGAGCAGTGTGGCAGCCACTCATGACGGACGAGATGTCCTCCTCTGTACATCAGGAAGCTTTCAACTGAAAATAACAGAATACTTGGCTGAAATCACTTTCAAAAACAAGGGCATTTTTATCTCAGATGATAAGAAGTCCAGCAAGCTCCAGGGAGATTAAAACCAGTGGTTCGGTGGTGTCATGAGGAGCCCAAATTCCTTCCAGCTCTTGGCTCTACCATCCTCAGAGCATGGCCTGGGGCCTCAGGCAGCCCATCTCCTGGTTTCCAGCCCCCTCGGCAGGCCTGGTTTCACACGCAGACCAGCGGGGCCCACTTCGTGGTGAGCAGCCTGTGGTGTTGCACGGGGCCTTGTGCTCAGAAGCGCCTGCACTTGGTTTGATGCTCTGCTGTTGGTGTCTTGACGTTCTATGTAATTTTGTCTTTGAACTTGTGCTTTATAAGTGAAATCTTATGGGACAATGGAGACGCACATGAGCAAAGGAGAAA